ACCCTTCCAGTGGTATAATATTATCTCCATGTGACAGATGTGCATTAGGAAAGACCTTAAATGCTGATGTATGTTTGTGGTGATGAGAAAACGAGTAATCAAGGAAAGCTGTGAGTGAAGCTGCATTTAACGTGGGCCTGAATACTAGATTGGTTCTAAATACATGGAAGGGCTTGAGTAGAGAATTCAAAAAAATGTGAAAAATAAGAACTCCATAAACATGTACCAAAGCACAAATATAGTCATAAATTCTTTCTTAGTATCTACCTCTGAACCAGACTGCAGGGGTTCTAATCCTAACCCTTGCGCTTAACAGCTGTGTGACCTTGGACAAGTTACCTAACTTCTCTGTGTCTTGGTTTCCTCATATATAAAATGAAGATAATAACAGTACTGACCTCACAGGATTGTTGTGAGAAACATATATACATACACACAGTGCAATTGTGCCTAGCAGATAGTGAGCATTGTAAGCTTTATTTATTATTTTTCATTATTATTTATGCATAATAATGAGTTAGAAAAATGTGTATTTTCCGTGTGTGTGTGTGTGTGTGTGTGTGTGTGTGTGTGTGTGTGTAGACTTCCAGCAAGGCTGCTCTTGGGTGTCTTTGGAAAATATTCTGCCTCCAGAAGTTTCCCCCCTGGAAGGAACATGACTGATAGAGACAGATGAGTTTGTGTATTCCCTCTCTCATCCAATCCTTCATTTAAGAAGAATGTCTTGAGCATCTGTGCAGAATACAGCTCTGTGCTAAGCAGGATGTAGAAACAGAAAACCCACAGGGCGGAATCCCTGGGCCCAAGCTGCTCCTGGCCACCAGGAGACAGACATGTAAATAGACTGTTTTGATATAATCTGAAGGCTGTTTTCACAGTAATACTCAGAAATAAATGTTCAACATAAAGGTTAAGAGCATTGATGTTTGATTCAGATAGTTTGGACTTGAGCCTTCCCTCTGCCCCTTTTCTAACTGTGGCTCTGGCAAGTCAGGTGTGTCACGTGGAGATGACAGCATCTGGTACAGATGACACTGTGTGAGGAGCAGATGAGACTGCACAGGCACGGCCCTCAGCCCACAGCCAGGGACCCATGAGCCTGGTGGTGCCTCTCTGCTTCTCCCTCACATTTCTTCTTCCCACTATGACTGTGTGACTCATCACAAACACTCCATCTTTGGCGCTGCAGAGCAAGGCTTCCTAGAAAGGCTTGAGCTGAGTTCTAAAGGTCGAGTAGGGGGTCACAGCATAGAAACACAGCAAAGATAATGCAGGGAGAGGAAATGGCACGTGGCCAGGCACATCACCCTTGTCCCTTTAGGACAAGAAAGTGCCTCTAGTCATCTGTTAGCTGGCCCGCAAGAAGGTCTGGTGCCAAATTAGGCCCACTGGTCAGTATCAGGCAAGGTTCCTCAGACTTCACAGCTCTCTTGTTGCTGTGGGTTCCCCATCCTCTCTGTCCTGTCCCTTTTGGCTGTTCTTTGAATCCTGAAATCATTTTGCTGGTTGAATCCTTCCCCACCTGGACGCGGAAGTTCTGTGCTCCCTTAATGAAGTCCACGGAGAAGGAAGACAAGGCCAAATGTCTTCCCAAAGCCCTGTTCGTGCATTAGCAGGATCTAGTTGTCCTTTCTTTTTTTTCTGTTTGCATCTTTTTATTTCAAGTTAAAATAGAGCATGGTGATAAAACCAGTCCCCTCCAGTACGGCCTCAGAAAGTTCCCAACCAGCAATGGTTGAAACAACTGGCACTCATGTGGGAGCTAACATCTTGCAGAATGTTTCTCACATTTGTTTTTAAATTTTCCCTACCCACAGCCTTGGTATTCGTCATCTTCTCATTCAATAAAAATGTCTGAAGTGCTTATGAACTACTTGGTGCTGTTCTAGTGCTGGGGGCACAAGAGGGAGCAAATTTACATGTGGGTCCTGCTCCCATCAAGCTTTTGGTCCAGCAGGGAGATGGATGTTAATGAAACAGTTACATGAGTCTATTCATAACCAACAAACTAGAGTAGGTCCTCTGAAGTAAGCAACCCAGTTCTTAAAGAGCTGTGATCGGCTGAGGGTCAGGGATGGCTTCTCAGCTTGAGCTAAGAGATCAGGGCTACAATTAACAAGAAATGGGGCTGCCGGAAAGAGAGGAGCATCTCCAAAGACTGTGGTTGGAGGGAAAGTACTGAGAAACCAAAGAAGGCCTGTGTGGCTGGAGGCCAGGCAGGAAGTCAGGCAGGGGCCAGAATATGCAGGGCTTGGTAGGCGATGGGAAGCCATGGGGAGGTGCTAAATGCAAGTGTGTTGGAGGGGCTGAGGTGGTAGCATGATTATGTTATTACAATTATTTTGACGACAATATGGAGAACCAACTCTGTATCTGACGGATGAGGAAACAGGCTTGAGGGCTGAGAAAAAGAACTCATGCTTATAGACTCCATATTGTTGATTTACCCTACGTACAAATGTGTCACTATATATGACATGCTTAGATCATGTCTTGGACACAGTACATATAGTACAGTGAAGGCTGATTATCATCATCATCATCACCATCATCACCCTGTGTCATACAAATATGAATGTGTTTCTTTGCAACCACCCACTGGAGTATGATTACCCATGTATTACAAATGGAAAACCGAGGCACAGAGAGGGTAAATAACTGCTGACCATCACTCAGGTGGTATGTGGCAGAGCTAGGATTCAAAGCCTGTAATCTTGCTGTGTTGAAAAAACAATGTCAAGACGAAGCTGAGAGGACAACCCAAGTCTTTTAAGTAGGATGTTCCAGCCCCTAAGAAACCCAGGAATTGTGGAAGCTCTTAAAATTATTCTAGAATTACTTTTAAGATTGTTTGAGTCATTTGTACTTATTTAATTTTCACAGGGATATATGCAAATCATTCTCCACTTCTTCAATTAAATAAAATATGAAGTTCACAGCCATAACTTTTCCAGCATAGACTACACAGCGACAAGATTGCTAATAACATGAAAAGAAAAATGCAAACTCAGATTCATTTTGATATATTTTCCTCCTCAGACAAATGCTAAGTAAGTGTAACTAGTTTCTAGTGACACTGTGATGTATTTGAGAAAATGACTCATTGCTAAAGATAGTGTAATACATAAAGAAAACAGATATCTAAGAAAATGCATGGGGCATGGGACTTAAAAACAGGTAGCCTCTATCAGATGAGCTCTATGGAGAACTTTTATCATATTTAATTCTCAGCATCCTAGGAGTAGGTCTTTTTATTTCGATTTTATGGATAAAATTGGGCAGAGCCATTACATGACTTGGCCCTGCTTGCCTGGTATTTAACTCATGCCTTTCCACTAAGCCCAGGCCTCCTCCATGATGTCAGTGTTTGACAGCTGCTATTACCCTTTCCTATAGCCTTAATTGGGTTTATAACAAATTTGAAGACATGTCCCTTCACTTCCCACTCCTAAATCTGGTAATAGTTGTTGAATCAGAGGTTGTTTGTTTTGACATGAATAAAATGGAATTTTTATTTTGATGGAATAAATCAATTAAATATGATTGAAAAACAGTCCAAGAAAGTTCTTATTGTGGTGTTTTTGTCTCTATGAGGGATGATCTTTAGTTTGGTTTATATCCAAAATAGCAATTGAGGAGACCATGTGTCTACACTGGGAGGACAGGACAGGGAACTGATCAGAAACAGCAGACAAGTTATCAAGGCAGCTCCCTACATGAGTTTAGATCTTTTGTATTTGGAAAGCTCCCCTGGAGATTTCTACCCCTACCACCCCCTACCTTTCCCCAAGACTCATAGGGACTTACTAAGTTCCTCTCCACGGGGGAAAGAAAGATCTCTCAATGGATCATTTCCTTTAGACACCAATAACATTTTTAAGGGAAATATCGAATTGAAAAAAAAATCTATGCAATAGCAATGTTTATGAAATACCATCTTCAGCCTCAATTTAAGGGTGATCCCAAATGTCTACTGTCTTTTCCTGGGGGTACTGATTGAAAATCACCTTCTGGTATAATAAATGCTCCTCTCACTTTATATACACAGCCCCCAACCCCAGGCTCCTGCTCTGTGGATGACAACCACGAGCTCAGTTTCGGAGGAGTGTGGCAGCCCCTCACCATCACGGGTCCGTCCTCTTCAATCCAGTACCTCTTGTAGGACAACCCTCACGGCTGAAAAACAGCCAGCCAGTTGCTTATCTTAAAACTGCTCTTTTCCCAGGGATGTGCCAGATCAAAAGAAACAGGCAAATCACATACACAAGATGCACGAGCAGCTAATGACTCTAGAAATTCTGAAAACTGCAGTGCTCAAAGCATGGCGAGTGGCCAGAATGTATACAAGGTAGAGAGAGACGGGGGACCGTTTGCATAAGGCTCAGTTCATCCTCATGTTAAGGCCCTAACTCTGGACCCCCGCCCTCCCTCCCCGACAAACCACATTCCCAGCAAGTGCTGAAAGTGAGCTGTGTTCTCCCTGCTCTGCAACCCAAGTACAGACTCACAGCAAACCAATCTGACAATCTGACAATCGGCACTCCACAGCCATGGAGTGAGCTAATTCTATTTTGCTAATTGCTTTCTTGGGCAGGCACCAAGTTATTAAACAGACAGTGACAAAAGCAGAGAGCTTGGATAAACATACGTGGCGGTACCTACAGCAAATTTCCCCCCCTTAACATTAGTTCCAATTACTTGTTTGCATGTTAAGTAGAACAAGGGAAACTGGCAAAATGTTTCTGCTTATTTTTCTCATCAGGTGTATCAGCTTTGAGATCACCTTTGCAACATTATCCTGCTCTTCAGAAAAGACTCCCCTTTCCTCGTAAGAAAACAGAGTGATTCTAGAAGCAGATCTAAGCTGTCAGCTCCCAGCTTTTGCCAGGAACGACAGTCATCTAGTAGCTACAGAAAACGGCATCGGCAGAGCCTGTGGGAAGTCATACACCAGCCCACTTTTCCCACCCACCCAGACACTCTCCCTCTCTGGTCTGTACCTTCCGTGTGGCAGCTGGAGGAGAGGATGGTATTCGGAGGTCTGAAGATGTAAGGCAGGTAACGAGAGAAGCATTTCATCTTCCACCAAATACAAAATAAAAAATAAAAAGCTAAAGAACAAACCAGTCTCCTGAATCCATCAGGATTCCGCTGGCCTTTAAAGCTGGCTACATCACCAATATGTGTAGGTAGGTTCTCTCCCAGATCTGCAGAGCTGGGCAGCCCGAGGAAGGACTGGAGCTGGGTCCCATTTTGCCATCAGCGCCAGGAAGCACTGCCTTACATTTCTGCATGCAGCTCAAACTCAGAAGCCCCCAAGCAAGCCGGGATATAGGCTCTTCATTGGCCGCAGCTCCTCCGAGCAAGCAGGATTTGCTGAGTAAGTCAGTGCTGCCTGTAAACACACGCGGAACTGCCCTGCCTGAAGCCTCTACCTTTCCCCGTGTGGTCAGTTTCTCTTCTAGCGATAGAAATCCAGCAGGAGATGGGAGTCGTGAGGATAAGTGACCATCTCTTATTTAGCGGGAAGATCAGATGAAACAAAGACAGCACAGTGTTCTGCCCTGGAGAGGGATGGCTGTTAAAAGGAGCCACCGCAATGCCATGGGTCTCAGGAATATTAAAGTACAGTGCAATGAAATGGGTCTCTGTCCTTGCCTAATCTAGATTTAGCTCTATTTTTTTTTTTAATACGAAACCCAAACAATAGGACCATTTATCATTTAGGTGAAGCCGAAAGCTGGGTTGAGTAGCCGGTGACAGAGGGCTAACACAGACAGATTCTGTGTTCCACTACGGCTTTTTTTTTCTTC